TCCAATGCCCGAGCCCATCACCTTCAGCGTCTGTGCAAGCCAAACACCCATGGAGAAGTATGCTCAACGCATGACGTCTGCGGTTTTGGATGACTCTGTACTTCCTGAAACTCTTGTTGAGTCGTTTGATTCTTTCGCTCTCTCTGTGAAGAATCGTGCTGTCCAGTGTGAGCTGCTTACTTTGCCTCCTGACGTCCTTGATTCGCGTTCCTCTTTCGAATTTGTGGATTCTACTGTCTGTGAAACTCGCTACGCATTTTCGGCTTCGCACTCTGTTGCCTGTCAAGCTACACGTCCTTCTCTTTTGTCGTTCTTGGAGTTTGACAAGTCGTCTGGCTTTGCTGATGTTTCGCTTTTATCTGAGTACTTTACCTCCTCGGACGTCATACGCGAATTCTTCTTTACTATTTCGGATGACCATGAGCTTTCTGAATACCTTTCTTCAATGGGTGTTGGTCGGCTGAATGTGGAGCGATACAGTTGTCTTGTTGATCGTGGCTTTATTGCGGAATTTTCATCTCAGGCTGTTCCCGATTCGATCACTGCTGCTGATGTTTGTACACAATGGCCTGGGGAAATCGTTGAGCGTGAGGAATTCAATGAAACACTTTACGTTGTCGACTCTTTCTCTTCAGATGATGAGGACCTTTACGGTCGCCGTCTGCATCGGGGCCAGATTTCTGAAGCAGCTTGTCAGGTTCAATCAGACGTTGTAAGTCCAGAACTTGGAGCGGAGACTGGAATGCAACAGGAAAGTCTCCTTTTCAGTGATTATCATCAACTTGACTTCACCAGCGAAACGAAGTCAATAAGGCAAATAACCACCTATGACATTGCTCAATGCCAGACACCGAAAGCAGCAGTTTCTGAAAGCACCCTCTACTTGGAGGACATTATTCGCACTGAATCCACTCGGGCGAGCCAGACGATTGACGACGTTGAGCAGATGAGGATAAAGTATAAACGAACAGATGAAGAGGATCGCTATAGGCCATGTCTGCATGACTTGGATGTAACTACCTACTTCTTTGATGAGGATATACTCGAGGAGGAATACAGACTGAGATTGCAGCACAGCTCACCTGCCATGATGTCCTCACTTCCGTGAGTCCTAGTCTTCTTTTGATCTTTACTGGCAAAACTAAGCTAACACTTTTAAATGAGAATGGTATTGAAACTATAAGCTTACTAAGCTTCTAAACTGACACACATTGTTTATCCGGAAATCAGAAGTTTAAGGAAATGTAGTTGTTGGTTACCTTAGATAACAGAAGATAGGCTGACAGGGCTACACAGATTGGTCCCAAATCAAAAACGTTCCCCAAGTCAAACAGGCGGTAGTGGTGAGTACGTAGGTTTTATACCTCGTCTACTTGAATCCTCGAAATCAAGATTCTGCAGGTTACATAACCTTGTCGCAATGCAAGTTTTCTAACTCGACTAAAAGCGGGCCTTTCCCGCTTAAAGTATACCTAAGCTATGCTTACTTCAGCACATTTTAGATCATTAGGCAACCTAATCTACGAATCTATATGCCATTTTAAGGAAACTTAATGTCGAGGACTTTAAAAGGAAGGGAAACAATTTGTTGGAGGTATACTTCAGAAAGCGTTTCGTTTCATTAAACATAAAGCCGTAAGCAGTTAAACTTAGTAATCTGCCTTTGGCGTGCACTTTTTGTCCCCTTGGAAGTTTTTTTCTTATTAATGGGTATAAAGTAATGGCCTTCAAAAACAATTTCAGTTGGAGGAGAGAGAGACCCACCATTTTTATAAATGTATAGGGTTCCATGATACCGTGTACATATTACTAACAGTATGCAATAAAGAAATGAGATACTAAACTTTTTAGTCTGACCGTCGCCCTTATTGATTAGCGACACAACCCTGCGAGAGGACGGCAGCCGTAAATTTGTTTAGCATGAGGAAGTAGTAGTATTTATATGCTGAATTATAGTAGTAGGAGTAGTAGTGGTGGTAATAACGTAATGCAGTATACTTGCATCCCACACGAACTCCAGACGACGGGCGCAAACGCACTGGCAGACAACGTTAAACAGCCCATATGCATCTGCTAGGCACGACTTGACCCTTGATCCTGAAGAAAGCTCTCTTAATTCTGAGGTGGTTGATCCCACATAAGCGCCGCCAAGTATTTGTGAGCTTATACTAAATAAAAATGAGCTTCTAGGCTCGCTCCCGGATTGCCGGCTGGATAGTAAAAGGGCCAACTTTGAGAAAAGTCCTCTTGAACGCTCCTTTTCGAAGGGGATGTTGATATAAATATTTGAAGTTATCGGTTTTAGCTAACTAACCGCTTGATAGAACAGAACGCCGGGTCCATCTTCACGGGTGAACCTAACGCTTTGTTTATGAGACAAGTCCACGATAAATAGACAACTGTTATTGTCTTTTTGTCGAGATTCAAAGGAGCACATTACCGCTCAAATTAACCACAATGCAGCCGTCGCTCCAAATGCCAAGTCAACAGGAGACTTTCACATGCTGCGAGTGCACAAAAAGGGAAGAAAGGGAAAAAAGAGGGTTAAATTTAGACGCATGCAGGCAAATGAACAGTCTTAATTCGGGTTTTGATAAACGGGCTTGGAGAAGTTGTGAAAATGATGGTTATGGAGAAAATACTGCCAGTCTGACCTCGCAGCTTTCTCAACTACAAGTCGAAAATAAGCCTGGTCATTCTGGTTAAGGATTTTCAAAATAGCAAACAACTTTTGCACCTCAAAACTTCATAGTTTTCAACAGCCCAATTCCTCGTTCTCGCTATGCTAGCGCATGCTCGGCAAAATATTCCGAAGGCGCACGAATTAGGTAATCGCGATTGTGGCTGTTTTGTTTGTTGAGAGCTGATTATTTAAGGATCGCATTGCTTATCTATTAATGTAATGGTATATTTACAAGACACTGCTGGTCTGCGTAATCTTGCAGGCCTCCTCAAATACAGATGACTGAGGCAAATGTATGCCCTTCCTTATATTAATGTTCTGCTGTCAAATTAACCTCCTTGCTTTTGCTTCTTCCAGTGCGGATCGCATGGATGTCCACATACGCCAACAGGTTCTTGACTACGAGCTTTGTCAAATGGTGAGTCATCTGGACTGCAGACGATGGAACGACATCCGTGAGGTGGCAAGTCCCATCACAGGCCTATTCGCGCCAGTCAATATTGCGATTCGTCGCGGATGGATCCAAATGGGTAATCGCAATGAATACATCGACCCATCCACAGGCCACCATATTCCACTAGAGACTGCCCTTGCCCAGGGACGTCTACGTATGGCCAACACAAGAAGCGCCTCGACCAGGGGACCGACAGAACCGTCACTCATGTTCATCGAACGAGAATCTTACAGCTGGTATCGAGCAGAAGCAACACACGTCGTGAATACAAGAACGCACGAAAAACTGACTATCAGTCAAGCCAGATCAGAGGGGCTTATAAAACAAGAGGAGGATGAGTCGGTGTGGATCCAGGACACACGCAACTCTCGGTGGCTGTCAGTAGACGAAGCCGTTGCATCAGAAATCCTCTTTGTGGAGAACATGCAGAAAATCGAATACAATGAAGAAGTGGAGCATTTCGAGCACACTGAAAGCACTGTGAGGGCATACCACGTAGACGCCATTAAGCCTGGCGGTGAGCCATGCGAATGGTTAAGAACAGATGACGCAGTAAGACTAGGCTTCTTCAATCCACAGACCGGTGACGTGGCCGTTGATTGGCCCG